CATCAACAGGCTAACAAGAAGTACTGCAAAAAAGGACCTGGGGATTACAGTGGACGAGAAGCTGGATATGAGTCAACAGTGTGCCCTTGTTTCCTTAACTGCATATTGGACTGTATTAATAGGAGCATTGCCAGCAAATTGAGGGAAGTGATTATTCCTCTTTATTCGGCACTGGTGAGGCCACATCTGGAGTACTGCATCCAGTTTTGGGCCCCCCACTACAGAAAGGATGTGGAAAAATTGTAGCCTTCAACTACCTGAAGGGGGGTTCCAAAGAGGATGGAGCTAGACTGTTCTCAGCGGTGGCAGATGACAGAACAAGGAGCAATGGTCTCAAGTTGCAGTGGGGGAGGTCTAGGTTGGGTATTAGATAAAACTATTTCACTAGGAGGATGGTGAAGCATTGGAATGGGTGGAATCTTCATCATTAGAGGTTTTTAAGGCCTGGTTTGACAAAGCCCTGACTGGGATGATTTAGTTGGGGTTGGTCCTGCTTTGAGCAGGGGGTTGGACTAGATGACCTCCTGAGGTCTCTTCCAACCCTCATCTTCTATGATTCTATGATTCAAACAAAGACACAAATAAGAATAATTTTCCCCTAGACACTGTCATTTCTTGAGAAAGATCCCAAAGTGCTTTAGAGAAGCTATGTATAAAGGTCTCTTCCCCATCCCATGCTGGGATGAAATGGGGCAGTCTGTGCCAGGAATGCACGACAGTAGTGTTACTAGGAAGGTAAGGGAAAAAGAATGGAAATTACAAGGGAAATTTCAGATGCAATTCACTGATTGAAATTTGGCCAGGACACCAGGGCCCAACATGCCATCTCTTGAAGAAAGTGCTGTGGGATCTTTAATGACTACAGATGATCAGGACTTTGGTTTTACTGCTTATCTAAAAGGCACTTCAACCAGCAACACAGCAGCCCATAGCTAGGAATAATGGTTCAGCAACAAGTGAGAAAAAGTGTGATACCTACTGAATCAACAATACCCTTCTTTTGTAGCACCTGACTTTCTCTATTGATGTCCCATCTGATCCATGTGAATTCAAAATATCTTATGAATTTTCAATGCTACATAACAACGAATTTTAATTTACCTAAAATTCTCAGCAGCAGGAACTGTATCCCAATAGCAAATGACTTATCCTCAGGCTGAACGCTCCTGAAAAGCAAAAACAAAAGAGGAATTAGTACATCCCCCTACACCAGTGGTTCTCAAACTATTCTACTGGTGACTCCATTCACATAGCAAGCCTCTGAGTGTGACCCCCCCTTATAAATTAAAAACACTTGTTTATGTATTTAACACCATTATAAAAGCTGGAGACAAAGCGGGGTTTGGGTTGGAGGCTGACAGCTCGCGACCCCCCATGTAATAACCTCACAACCCCCTGAGGGGTCCCGACCTCCAGTTTGAGAACCCCTGCCCTACACAGAAATAGGAACAAATATGGCCCTTTGTTACATCCATGCAAACTTTGTATGTGAGTAACTGAGGGCAGACTTTGCTCCATTAGATGTATCACAGCCAGGATGTTTTGGTTAGCTCTCATAATCTCTCCATTTTTTTTATAATATTACAATATGTTCTTTACAAAAATTCATTGCTCTTTACTGTAACATGTTTTCAAAACATGTTATTTCCTAGTATTCATTTGTTTAACATACTCTGTATTAGCATAGGACAAGGCTAGGATTTTGGGCATTTCCTGATGTATCAGGTGGCCAAACATTTCGATGTTCATTTTGGCACCTAACACGTATTTGGGTGCTCAAAGGTAACAACACTTAACAATAAATAAACCCATTTCCAGCGAGTTGGTTCACAGTCAAGCTGGAAGGGCATATCAAGTGGGGTACCACATGGATCAGTTCTGGGTCTGGTTCTGTTCAATAACTTCATCAATGATTTAGATAGTGGCATAGAGAGTACACTTATAAAGTTCGTGGATGATACCAAGCTGGGAGGGGTTGCAAATGGTTTGGAGGATAGGATTAAAATTCAAAATAATCTGGACAAACTGGAGAAATGGTCTGAAGTAAACAGGATGAAATTCAATATGGACAAATGCAAAGTACTCCACTTAGGAAGGAAAAATCAGTTGCACACATACAGAAAGGGAAATAACTGCCTAGAAAGTAATACTGTGGAAAGGGATCTGGGGGTTAGAGTGGATCACAAGCTAAATATGAGTTAACAGTGTAACACTACTGCAAAAAAAGCAAACATGATTCTGGGATGTATTAACAGGTCTGTTGTGAGCAAGACACGAGAAGTCATTCTTCCGCTCTAATCTGTGCGGGTTAGGTCTCAACTGGAGTATTGTGTCCAGTTCGTGACCCCACATTTTAGGAAAGATGTGGACAAATTGAGGAAAGTCCAGAGGATAGCAACAAAAATGATTAAATGTCTAGAAAACATGACCTATGAGGAAAGGTTGAAATAACTGGATTTGTTTAGTCTGGACAAGAGATGACTGAGAGGAGACATGATAACAGTTTTCAAGTACATAACAGGTTGTTACAAGAAGGAAGGTGAAACACTGTTCTCCTTATCCTCTGAGGATAGGACAAGAAGCAATGGGCTTAAATTGCAGCAAAGGTGGTTTAGGTTGGACGTAAGGAAAAGCTTCCTGTCAGGGTGGTTAGGCACTGGAATAAATTGCCTATGGAGGTTGTGGAATCTCCATCATTGGAGGGTTTTAAGAACAGGTTAGACAAACACCTGTCAGGGATGGTCTAGATAATTAGTCCTGCCTTGAGTGCAGCGGACTGAACTAATGTCCTATTGAGTCCCTTCCAGTCCAACACTTCAACGATTCTAATAACATTCTTCCACTGTGCAAACGGAACTGAGGCTGAGTCACAGCAAGGTCATGGGGGAGATTTCACTGGTAAAAAAAATTCAGACAAAGCCAGTGAGCTGCAGCTGGGTCTTGCTGGGGAGTAAAAGTGGTACATATGATACATTGCATTTCTATAGAACCTCTGATGATGAAGCTGTGAGGAAGGAAAGTAGCTTGTTACTTCATTGTTGCTTCATTTTACAAATGGGAAAACTTTGGCAAAGAGAAATTAACTGACATGGCCAGGGTCATACAGGTAGACTGTGGTAGGGCTGGGAATACAACTAAGGCCCAGATGCCCAGTGCCGTATTTAAAGTACAAGACTAGCCTTCCACTCCAACAATAAGGGCCCAATGCAGCTCCCACTAAGTCAACGAAAAGACTCTCATTGAATTCATTGAGAGCTGGAGCTGACCCTAAGTGAATTCCAACAACAAGCAGTTTCTGAAGAGAATAATTCCCTCCCCTGCAGGGATCAGTGGGTGAAATTCTGTGGCCAATGTTATGCAGGGAATCAGACCAGATTATCATAATGGTCTCTTCTGGGCCTAAAATACTCAGAACCTTTGAGGAATTAAACTATATGCTGAAATGATGGAGGCGTCCATTTGTTTTTTATTGTAAATCTATAGGGGAGTGAGGTACAGGCCTCTGGCTCCGAGCAAGTTGCCAATGTAGCGCCTGGTGTCACAAAGTCTGAAAAGCCCAACTTCCATGGGCTATGACAGACAGAGTAACCGTTTCATTGATCCAGCCAAGAATGTCCCAATCCCTGGGAGGTTAATGGTGTTGAAATATTGACAGCTGCTCAGCACTGAAAAGTGCCCCCACAGTACACGTCATGGTGGCTAATGTTGTTGACTTGTTCTTTAACCGAAGCAGCTAAATCCCTTGCAGAGTTAAAGAGATGGTAAGAGCCTGTAGAGTCAAAGAGCACCAGAAACCTGCTGTGAGAAGTGCTCTGCCTGAACTCCTAACACAAGGCACAGCCTGTCGTAAGGGTCTGCGTGAGGCAAACATCAGTCCCAATGATTTCTCCTGCTTTGTGTAAAGCAGCTCTTCGTTTCTAGCACTATTTGACGCTCAGACACATGACAGGGCTTCCCATACCTGCTGGCAAACTGAGCTAGTAGGCCAAGCGCCGAAGGTGGAACTACATGGCATGCTTACCTGCCCTTCTGTCTTGGTGATTTGCTATAGTGTAAAGATGGAGACACTTTAAGAAAGACAGAGAGAAACAAGGAGAAAGACAGAAGCAGATTTAGATAAGGATAGCTACAGATGATGGATGGCAAGACATAGTCCGGGATGGCACAGCAATAACTCCAGGGAAGTCAGTGGGCCTGATCCTCCACTGCCTTCACTAACACCTGGGCACAGTGCATGTGGGAAATGCTGTCACGCTGATCTGGTAGCACTTTACACCACTTTTACCCTTAATTTGCACTAGGGTAAATCAGGTGCAAGGCAGCGGGAAGTGAGCCCCAGTGCGGTTACACTGCTGTAAATTCAATTGGGGATCAGAATCAGGCCCATATGCAAATCAGGCCCATCTTTGTTGTTACCTTATCACCCACCCTGTCCCTGTTTGTCTGTTTATCCACCTGCAGTGTCTTGTCATAACCCTAGACTGTGAGCCCTCTGGGCTCCATTTCCTCACTTGTACAGGGCCTAGCATGCTGGGCCATGACCCCTGACTGGGACCTCTAGGCATGGCCACACTATAAATAACAACATATATGGTTAAATGTGGATAAATATAATAGAGATGTGCCAAGATGGGGAGCTCTGAATTTAACCCTCATGCCTGCCACTCCCTGAACGTTTGTGGTTTGGATAAAATAGCTCTCAGATCTGAGCCACCGATGGTTTTGGGTTTTCAAAACTCAGCCTCCTCATCCCAGCTCCAGAGTATTCTCCAGAAGAGGGGAGATGCCGGATAGAGCTCGTGGTCCGAGCGTGGTGACAATCCCGCCTACATTACCTCAGGATGAGCATGAAGGATGGTGTGTGCGACGTGCTTGCCAGGATTCCAGCCAGGCAGCAAAGTACAACAAAGGGTAAGAGGAGGTGGAAGCAATTTGTGCCACAGGTCCCAGGGGAGGCGGATCCTTCAGCCCCGTTTGCAGAGATGCACCTGCAGTGTGTATAATTCTGAAAAGAGAGCAAAGAAGATGCTGAGATGGGGGAAGCCATTGGAAATACAAGGCACTGCAGCCAGCTGTAAGTGGAGGCACAGATGTAGATAAGAACCTAGGATTTGCCCTGCTAAATCACACCATGGGTCTATTTAGTCACATATTCAGCCTCCAGCAGTTAACTAGCATCTGAGGCTTCTGATGAAGGCAAAGAATTCATTACTATTATAGCTGACCAGTGGCACATTGCGGTAAGGAAGGGAACATGCCACAGGTGCTGACTTTGTCATTTCCCAGCAGGTGCTTGACCCCCACTCTGCCCCAGGTCCTGCCCCTGCTCCACCCCTTCCCCCAAATCCACCCCCACTCCGCCTCTTCCCACCCTACCCCTTCCCGTCTTGTTCTGCTCCCTTCCCTGAGCGTGCCCCACCCTCACTCCACCCGTTCCCCCAGCGCCTCCTGAACAGCTGATCATGGAGGGCGGGAGGTGCTGCAAGGGGAGGAACTGATCGGTGGGGCCACCAGTGGGTGCTGAGCACCCACTATTTTTTTCCCGTGTATGCTCCAGTCCTGGAGCACCCACGGAGTTGGCGCCTATGGAACACGTTCTTCCTGACCCCGGCTTCTGTCCTGAAGGACTCCACGAGGGTGACTCGGGGCATTCTTGGATAGCTGTGATCACCATCAGACTTTAGAGCAGTGGGTGGCCAAGACTTTGCCGTTGCTCCTGGGTGTGGCACTCCTCATCCCCTGGACATCTGCCTCAGTTCAGCCCCTCCTCACTTTTAGAAGCCATCTAGTAATATTCCTTTTCCAGAGACATTTATATTATCAGTCATGCCAGCCCCTGTGTAGGGCTCCTCCCCACCCATTCTTGTAGTGATTCCTCAGGTTTTGTGCTTTCAGTCCTTTGTTTCACGTCTATTGTGTGTTTTCACCTTGGCACCTGAAACAAACTCTGATTCCTGGGATAGTTTCATCTCTTATGAGAGATCTCATCAACAGCTTGTTAAAAAATCGAATCAAACATGTCCATTTGCCTGAATTAAATCTTCCTGCAGAAACAGCTGTGGGAGAAGATCTGGGGCAGAACGCTGAGGGAGGACTGCATGGAGAATTTCCCTTAGATTGCTCCATTGAAGAAGGGGCAAGTTTTGCTTCCCTCTCCTCAGTGGGATGATCAATGGTTAAGCTGCCAGAACCAACTGAATCTTTGGTATCCACAGGAGACCAGTCTCTCCTCAGTGATAGATGCTGGTTTCCCACTTCCCCTCCCATTCTCTGACAGCACAGCTCCATAAGAAATGTTCTATTATTTACAATCTGGGCCAAATCCTGCAGTCCTTACTGATGCAAAACTCTGAGAACATGGACCAATTAAAGAATAGACGTGTGCCCATCTTACAGGTTCTTTTTAATTACATAGCTAGTAAAATACCTACAAGTAGACAATAAAATTATCTATCCAATCTGCTACATGAAACACACAAAACAGAGAGTGGCTCAGATGAAAAGGCTGTGATTAAATATTTAATCATTGAAATGAGGTAATTGCATCCTATCTTTCACTTTCAAAAGCATGTGCAAGATCCTATCTCATTGCTAATGACAGTTACTGTCTCCAGCATGCAGTGTTATGGACAACATTTCAAGTTCAACGTGTTTCCACTATACTACAGATGGATCTCCAGGTGGTTGGTTAAGCGTTCAGTTATAAAAACCTATATAGAACGGAATAGTTAATTATGTCCTATAAAAGTTGGAACCTTATTGGTGAAGAGGTGGAAATCAATACTGGAAGCTACTTTCAATAGCCCAACACATTCTTGAATGAGAACATTACTCTGTCCAGAAAGGAGGTTTTCTCTCATTCTGAGTGGAATAGAAACTGAAGAGAAATGAGAGTTTTGCTAGTGACTGCAATGGTAACAGGTCTGGCCGATAGGTTTCTGAATCCTGAAGAATTTGCTCTCAGAGCTTGAGAAAAGAGCCAGTGTCTTTAGCAGCATGCTGTAACGAGTCAGGGAGCACTAAAGTGATATGGATGGCTTGGTGTTAATGATACCCCTGTGTTGCCAGTGTAACCTTTGACTTCTATCTAATCTGGTTAACCTATGTCTCTGATCTATTTTATGGCCTCACTTTAGTTTTGTGCTTTACAAAACTATATGAATCTGTCTGAAAGGTCTATACAAAGACCCATCCAGGGGCCAACAGGCATGTCTAGAACTTCTCTTTTTATCCTGAGTCGGGTGAGCTCTTTGTTTGTTTGTTTTTGGGGTGGGGGGTGGAGGGTTCTTCCAATGAAGGGGCGCAAACCTTCGAGGTTAAACACCCTCAACACCTTGGGAGGCCAGTGAAGCCGTGAAGTTGATGGCCCTCAGAACCTTAAGGAGTCAGGTCACAAATGAATTTAAGTTGGTAGATCCCAGCACAGTTTGCAAATGAACTTCTTTACACATAAGAATAAGATATCCATTCTGATTTTATTAAATCTGTCAACTGCCTTAGATACCATTGACCATGAGGTGTTCCTAGCATATCTGCAATTCCTGGCTTGGAATGGTTTAGTTCGCTTTTTTCAGAGAGGGCCCAGCAGGCAATGATGGGTGACTGTCAATCAGAATGGAGGGATCTCTTATCCCAGGGCCGGAGGGGAGTTTTACTAATAGGGCCTGGGGGTTGGCGATTCATTTTCTTTGGATGGAATGCAAAATCTTTTGTTATACAGCATAATGGCATGAATTTGTTCATATTAATTTCCATCTCTGTTCCCAGAGCATGGATGTAGGCCCCTCTTGGTTAGACTATCATCTTGTGTCTATGCCAAAAGAATAAAAGATAAATACATCACAAAAGCACCAGATGCAGCACTGCTGTCAGTCTGTGCTTAGGCCTGGGGTATGAACAAGACTCCCGCTGTCAGGGTTGGAGTGGGTAACTTTGAGAGACTTGTCTGCCTGTTCCCACTGTGCCTGGTTCTAGCCACGGCCATTAATCATTTGCTTTCACTAAGCCCAAACTCAATGAAATATTAAATTAGAAAGCTCTGCTTGGGCGGGGGAGAATGCAAAGCCTCACCTTTGAGAGAGGGACAAAAATAACCAACATATTACTAGTGAAGAGAACAGATTGTGGGCATGGGATATAGATTTTTCCAGTTTCTCTATTTTTAGGCACTACTGACTTGTTGTTACAAGGAGCTCGTTCTTTAAAATAGACCTTTAAACAAACAGAGAGTGAAGGTAGAGCTTGCGAAAGGGACTGGATTTACAGCCTGTGGCTGACCTGTGTGTCCACAAAACAGGTACAGCACAGACAGAAGCTGTGCAGACTCCCCTCACAGCACCATCCATATATCAATTACTTCAGCTAAAGAAACAACTCCATCAGATGTTAGTATGTAGCGAGCTGTGATCTTGACTGGGGACAGCCTTTAGAAGAAGTCTTGACTGGAGACTGTAAATCACTGTGTGACAGGGCCTATCTCTGTGGTGCCCCTTGTGGCCCAATGGGATACTACTAACCTTGTTGTGGGGTCTCCGATGGTCAGCTGTCACCTCTCGAGGGTCCAGGGCAGTGATGCTTTAGCCTTCCAGCTAAGGCACACTTGAGTCCCACCCTTCTGGGGTACTGAAGTCCAAAAATAAAGGAATGCTATGGACTCAAAACCAGGGTTGTCTGAGACGTCTTCAGCAGGACCCCACCTTTCTACTTAGGGCTTGTCTTCATGCAGCCAGTCCGTTTAGCCAGTCTTCCTGGGCCCAGTCCTCCCATGCATTAGGAGGCTCCTCTTGGCAGTAAGCTGTCACAGACACTTGGCTAAAAGCAGGCTTCCCTCACCAAGGGAGAAGCAGAGCTCTGCTTCCCTTCCTGGTCATCCCCAAACTTAGCTGGTTTCCTCCTTTTACCTCTCCTCCCCACTCCTGACATCTGCTACAAGTGTAGCAGGGTGGGGCCAGCTGGATCCACAGGCCCTCATTAACCTCCTGGAGCCTTGCCGATGTGAGGCCTGGATGCCCCGTCCCACATGGTATCTCTAAGTCAAGCTTGTCCTGAGTGCCTTAGGTCCACAGGAGATCGAGTCCCAGTCACAAGTGAGTGCCAGGCTGATAGTTGCAAAGGGTTACCATTAGAGGAAGTTTTGCTCACATGCACTAAACCAGCATTTAACCAATCACCGTGCTACTGGCCGCAAAGGGTGGTTGCAGAGTGAGCTTCCAGAACTCTCGCCTTGATCTGCCTCATAGTCTGTATGCATCCGAAGAAGTGGGCTGTAGTCCACGAAAGCTTATGCTCTAATAAATTTGTTAGTCTCTAAGGTGCCACAAGTACTCCTGTTCTTTTTGCGGATACAGACTAACACGGCTGCTACTCTGAAAATAGTCTGTAGAATTAATGATGTTTGTAAAGTGATTTTGTATGGGGATATTTTGGCAAACCAGTAAAGTGCCTGAAACCACTATGGCTTATTGCTAAAAGCAGACAAGACAGCAGACTTAGCTTAACCAAGGAAGGAGGGGAGGGGTTTTGGGTGCCACAGAAAGGGCAGCTTGACCCTGCATCCTTCATGATAAGAATTGTGTTGAAGTTGCTGATACATGCATTTTAGAAGAGCAGGATGTGCCTGGTTAATCAATAATCAGAAGAAAACTTCTTGCTTGACTAATGTATAAAATAAGGGGGGGGAAGTTCGGAGGTGGTGGGACTCTTCAGGACTGGTCTCTCCCTCTGGATTCATCTTGTGTTCCCCACTGGCAGACGGGCTGCCGCTGTGTCACTCGAGAGCCACACTCCGCTTCAGTAATTATCGAGGGTTGGGGGTGTTCTACTGACCTGTTGCGGACGTTTGTAAGTGCTTGATTCATAGATTCTAGGACTGGAAGGGACCTCGAGAGGTCATCGAGTCCAGTCCCCTGCCCTCATGGCAGGACCAAATACTGTCTAGACCATCCCTGATAGACATTTATCTAACCTACTCTTAAATATTTCCAGAGATGGAGATTCCACAACCTCCCTAGGCAATTTATTCCAGTGTTTAACCACCCTGACAGTTAGGAACTTTTTCCTAATCTCCAACCTAAACTTCCCTTGCTGCAGTTTAAACCCATTGCTTCTTGTTTTATCCTTAGAGGCTAAGGTGAACAAGTTTTCTCCCTCCTCCTTATGACACCCTTTTAGATACCTGAAAACTTCTATCATGTCCCCTCTCAGTCT